AGCGAGGCCACGAGTAGAGAGGAAAGGGGGGGGGGTGTCACTTCCTTCTTTCTTGCATCATGGTCAGAGGAAGAGCCCTTTTCACCTCGACTCTGTTTATCTGCTCGGAGAAAAAGGGACGACAGTGATGACGCTGCCAGATAATATCACTGGGGGCTTTGGCAATACAATTCTATTTTGGGGAAATTATATATTTAATCTATTTTGGAATACCTATGTAACAAAGTCTGTTATTTTTTATGATAAACTATTGTGTGATCACTTATCAAGATATTATGTATTGAAATCTATTCTGAAGAACCTTTTAAAATTCGTATTGAACACAAATGGAAACTTTGTCCTCCTATCTCTGATATGAACATCAGATCACACACACACACATCAAGGCAGTGCAAAAGTGTTGAAATACCTCATTCTCATGCTCTATAAAAGGAGATAAACACTAGAAAGTACTATCCTCACTGTTTTTAGGAGATGAAGAATCATTTCTGGTGTTCATCAATTGTACACTGAGAAGAGAGGTTGGTACAGACACCTGTGTATAAGTTCATCTGATCCTAACAATTGTAAAACATCTTGTTACTGATTTCCTTGTGCATGTGCTTGTTTGGCAACAGTGATGCTTGGATAACATTTTGCTTATTATTTTGTAGTTAATATCCCTTGAGAAAAGATTGAGTGGGATACCATGGCAGGGTCAATCAAGTGCTCTCCATCATGTAATAAAGTGGTCAGTCGGTTTTTCTTTGAGATGGTTATTATTATATGGCGAAATTGGGATAATGCGGAATTACTTGGAGAGTTATAAGAGTTCGTTTGTATAAAGTATTCAAATACTACTATTCACAACATTATAGAAAAAAATACTCAAAACTAATAAAACTTTTACAGTATAAATCTATCCAATTACATAACTGTATACAAATATATTTCAGCACAATAAAAAAAAAAAAAAAAAAGATTCCACTGACAATATTCTGAACTATACAACCAAAAACTACAGTACAGAATTGAGGAGAGCTTTGTAGATTTTGTACTGGTCGACCGGTATTAGTCCTCGAACAGGCAGTGAGAAGTGCAGAAGCTGTCATCCTTTTCCGTCTTGGCATACGGTCGCACTGGCGCTCCACCAACGCATGTTCACATTTCTGCCCATGTTTTGGAGCAAGAAACAATGCCATGTCTATCATCAATTCTCAGAGTTGATGATTAAAAAACTACTGTGAAACATGTACAATCAGGAAGATGCCAAGTTGTCACTGCAGATCAAGATGACTGACTTGGGATTTAGATGACAAATTTCCTATATTCTTATCTTTCATGTGATACAATATGTAATATGATACATGCATTTTTATCTGATTACATGTCTACTTTTCTGGGTAAAAGTATGAATGTAAGTGACACGTGTGAGTAAGCGAGGCCCTGTGCACATTGGAAATATTCATCTTAAATTCAACTTAAAAAGCACTAGAAAATTGATCAACATCAATATATGCATAACTAGCCATTCTACAAATGCCCTCCCATAATGACTGATACCTATAGTGCAAATTTCTCAGATCCCAAAATAATTTAACAACTGTAGCATTTTCTTAGCATCTGATGGTTGTCCCGCTTCCAGGCAAGCAAACAGCAAATCGTGGTGAGCTTGAAGAGAGCCCTTTGACGTAGACAATTATATCCAACATGGACTGCATAAGATTGTCATTCTCCTTTGATCTGAAACCATGAAAGTTGATAATTTAGTTAAATGATGATGCTGAAATTAAGAGATGATTTAGTATTTGTTCTTATTTGGAACAGTCTCATTCTAATTCAGATTTGACATGTTATGTGAAGAATTAAAATACTTTTACCGAATTCAAGAAACAATCGTTAGCTCACTTCCCATGAGTAAAACTGTCTTCTTCAACCTTAGACAAAAAGTAAACCTAATTTTATCCTCTGGTTCTGTGGTAACAAAAAATTGGTCTCAGGATTTCTACAGAATTGAGGAGATACTTGGCTTTAAGGGTTATAGGGGAAAGTCATCAATAATAAACTAAGACTATCCTCAGACCAACAATGCCAACATCCATGACACAGCATCTAGAACTATGACACTGACCTTGATCTAAAACACTGACAAGTAGTTAACTTCAACCCATGCACAGATTTTTCTTCTATCATTTCTATTGAAAAAAAGAAAAAAAGAGAGAAAAAAGAAAATTATTTTCATCCATAAACCCATGCACCTGCCGTCTATAATAATAAATGAGTAAATAAATAAATAAATGAATAAATAAATAAATAAATAAAAGTAAATAAATAAAATAAATAAATGAATAATGAATAAATAAATGAATAAATAAATAGATAAATAAATAAAATAAAAATTTAAAAATCACATACCTCGTACCACCTTGCTTTGATTGAAGAGTCAGCTGGACGAGAATTTCAATCCTCATTGGTAAACACTTGTACTCTTTCCACAGATATTCAGCCTCTTTCACTGCCCCTGCTAGAATCACCACTGAAATAAATAAACACTAAGCTGAGAGACCAACAAACTCTGGATATAATTATATGAGAAGATTGAAACGGAGAAAGACAGAATGGAAAAAAAGAGCTGATATCTTGCACAGACTACAGCACAAACTAAACTGCCATTCAGTACAAGGGATCCTCCTCTTTATTTGTTTTATATGCCACTGATATTCCACAGATAATTAGAATGATTATGAAGATAAACACATTCTAACTTCTCTTTCTTCAAAATCTAGTACAAACACATGAAATGTCAAATAAGGGGATAAAAATGGAATTCAATCATGTGTCTAAAAGCTCCATATAAAAAAGCTACTGGTGCAGATATGTCAGGTTATATAAATATGATAAAAATAGTACTAGGCCTAGTTAAGCCTATATTGGGGTTTTCAATCATTCTAGTCGCAAACCTGTTTCATCATTAACTTCAACATATCACATATTGTACTTACCTACGAAGTCTTGCTTTTATCAATGGTCCTGCTATGACGCATCTACATTAATTACATGATTTGTCTGAAGAGGTCAAATATTTTTTTTTGTATGTGTATGAATCCTGATTTTCTGCTGCTGCCATCAAAAGATTCCAGCAATTTCTTTATGCTTTTTAAGCATGCGGTTTGGAATACTCTTCTAAATATCTTTTCAGGATATTACGGCATCTGAAATCAATGTGGGATTATATTAGGAGTCCTCTGATATATGAAAAAAAAATCTATATATAGACAGTATACCTTTTACAGTAATACCTACAAGAACAATTATAGCTTTAAAAATAAAAGTTTATGCACTGTGAATCTCACTAATCTAAGCATTCAGTGTCCACGGCTTTTATGTTTGGGACAAAAATTTGAATCTGTTGCAGTCAAGATTTTGCTACTTTTGCTTCTTGACTCCTATATTATTGGCTTTATTTACATTCCTACCTCTAAATTATGCTACTCAGTGACTAGCAACTAATATGAGTAACAGCAAGACATTAAAAAGCTGACTATCAATCTTTTACAAAGACGAAGTTAGATTTATACTCCAGAAAATATATGGTATGGATAGTATAATGTACATAGACTTATAATGCCATCTTTACCCTGCACCTCAATTGCAAGGAAGATCTACTACTGGATCCCAAGCTTGGTAGATTAGTGAATGGCAACTAGAGCTGGCAAACTTTGCTTCTCACTCTATTCAAATAATCTTAACTATGACGAGATCTAAATTTATGAATCACCAATATCATAATATCAACTAATCGCCATCTTAACTACACATGATAAATCACCAACCTTCTGTAATATCAACTAATCGCCATCTTAACTACACATGATAAATCACCAACCTTCAGTTCTCTTCTTTTTCACCAAGAGTGTGCACAGATCAATAACCTTATAAGAGTCCACATTAAATGAGGGGTACTTCGTTTGCAGTTCATTATACACAGCCAAAGCCTGTCTGCACTGCTGCTCTCAGTCAAGGTAGTCATGATACGTGACATCATACCACCACTGAGACTGACTTCACCTACTTCTGCTTCCTTGAAGAAGAAGACAAAAATTAGCCTTGTGTCAAACCCCTCATCGTATATGGAAATGTTTTCTCTATACACTTCAGTCTACTTCCACAAGACTACTATCATTTTTTTATTTAATATGTGTACAAGTCATAAAAAATAACTTTGTTCTTGAAGATGAAGACTATTGACTTCATGCTTCTTTTCCAATCCTCAATCTAGGTCATACTCCCGGAACCATGAGTAAATATCAACATGCATCTGACAAAGACTTATCAGAGATTATTTACACACACAAAAAAAAACACTGATCTTTATGAACACAGCAAATTATAACTGACAGCTCTACCTTAATAAGTGCAAGAACACGTTGAGTATTGTTGCTCGATGCATGCATGATGAGCAGTCTTCGCAAAGTTCCCCTTGTATTCAGGCCTTTGGCACGCAGTTCCACAAGATGACACTCCAGTTCCTCTACATTCATTTTGTTCTGTAAAACAATAAATACATACCATAAATGTCATTCACTAAGTCACAATCCATAAAATACGAATGACAAACTAAATGGAAAATAATTAGACAATTTACACCATGCCTAAAGACTACAATTCCACAGCCTCTGCTTGCAAGAAGCACCACTTATCTAGCTTTCACCAAGGCCAAGTATAATTACCAGAATGACTTTTTCAAACTCCCTAACCTCGAAATAATAGTGAAAAAAGTAAGAAAGTGGGAGTGAGAAAAAAAAGTAGTAAAACAGATCCCCAGTTTTTGGAAAGGCTAAGCTCAATTCGGATCAAACGCCAAAAGTCCAAATACACTCACTGGCCTTAGACTTATGGGCTTAATATATCAATTATTTTAGAACTTCTATAATATCTGAAGTCTACAACCATGTAGCCCTCTTTACATTACAATCTACCTTTACAAAAAAAATTATTAAAAACTCAATGGATCATAAAAATCATCTCAAAAATCTCTATTCACACAATAATAAATATTCAGCAACGATAAAAACAGTAATAATAACAATAAACAGATAAATTTAGGCCTAATTGTAACAGACCAAATTCCGCAATATTCCTCCCGAACGAAACTTTTCCTTCTCTCTTACTCACAGGATGTGGAAGGAGATTGTACTCCTCTTCCTTCAGCGGCTGCCCGACGGAGGGATCGAAGACGAGTCTGAGGTTGTCTCGAATGGCTTGCTGGATCACCTTGCTGGCCCTGGTCATCAGGATATCCACTGCGCTCTCGGAGACCCTGACGTTGCGCTTGTGTAATTCCTGAAGGCAAAGGCAGACCAGTTAATGAAATATGCTCAAATTGTAACTTTGACCAATGATGACACATTTATTATCATTGATTCATAAATTCCAGGCAAATATACGGTAAAATATATATGCACAACCTTACCTCAAATAGAGGACGAATCTGATGGACACTAAGTCCAGCTCTTGAATTCAACAAGTCTAGGACGAACTGCCCTCCCCAATCTGGCTCCAGCTCTCCCTCATTAAGAGTCTAAGGGAGTGAAAAAGAAAGAGAAAGAAAGAAGAGAAATTATAATAAGAAGCTATATGTTCAAAATGCCAGAAATGACAATCACAATGCCCAAGTCATCTTTTCTGATCTCAAGTATGAAATCTACCGTATATGAATACTATGAAATTCACAAATATAACAGAACATAATGAAATTCCCCAAAGGAAGTTTCATGTCTGACAAAACCTTACAGATCTATTCATTTCCATAAGGATGCCCAAAAGAGATATAACCCTTTGAGGACTGGCTGCCCAAACTGACGCCAGCGGGGAAATGATTTCTCGCAGAGATAATGGCTTCATTTCTCTCACTGGGAAAGATAAAGTTTACATTACATTTCAGTAGTTAAAAATGCATAATAAAACTGTAATATCTTTAGCATATATCTTTGACAAACATATTTGTGAAAAAGTTAACATGCAAAGTTGAATTTGTGTATTTAACAATTACTTTTCTCTTGCAGGTTATTCCTATTCCTATAGAGCTGTATAATACAAGTTGCATTCAAGACA